TTATTCAAGGCCTATCACATAAATTAAACAAATTTCTCTCGTCCGATAACTTCAAAATAGCTTTCAAAAATTATAAAACAATTCTAACACTTTTTTTCCAAAATTAAAGAACCCACACCAATAGTGAACCCCTGTTAAAACAAATCATTATTTGTATTTTCTTAATAAAGTTTCAGAAATAAAGAACATTATTAAAAATATTATATTCAATGAGTTCTATGTATTGCTTATAAAAAATTTTAATCATGGCTTTACATTAAGACCTTAATTTTGTAAACTTACAGTAATGTTCAAAATCGTTGGTTTGTTTATATTTATATGTTTATCCTAATATGTTGAAGTTTGTTTGGAGAAAATGGACGAAAAACTGAGCTGTGGCTTTTTGGTGTAGTTCAGTTTATTCTTCTGATCAGAATTTCTGATCATACAGTCTGATGCATTTATTTACAATCAGCCTTGCGGTGAAAGAACATTCTATTTCAAATTTAACAATTTTCAAGAAATGCAGTTTTAGTTTATGAACTCTTGATGAATGTGACTTGTGGATGGAGGTTTATCTAAATTTTTGTCTTCATTATATAATTAATTAATATCGTAGAAAAACATACTAGTCTGCCTATTCTCAGTGTCTTTGAAAGGGTGAAATTTTGTGGTGAATTTCAGGAGTGACATGCCAGGAAGAATAGCAGGCGAGAAGTCGTAAGTACGATCATGATATTTAATATCAATTGTGTTAAATAATAAATATGCATTTTTCAAACATAAAGGAAAAAAATGACCATTGGCACTCCATCAGTACCTCTTGAAAGGTCAGATTCTACAGCAGATTATCAAGTTTTGCTTTATTTTGTTGACATAAAAATATATTTGAAAAAAATTAGGTTTTGATGCAATATAATTAAAAAAAGTAAAAGTACTACAAATACTACTGGATTCTCGACGACAAATGAAATGGCCATGAAGAGCTTTAGTGAAGTATACTTCATTTTTAATCATTAAATTCATTAATTTCGTGGTTCGCTTGACCAATTAATATATTAGAATTAATCAAGGTTTNGTACTTATGTTGAACCAGCACTCCCCAAAATCCATCA